TCTAGTAAAAAATGTCTATGTTGAGGATTATGCTCTTTTAAGAACTACTTATATGAGATCAAAGTGACAACAGTAGCTCAAAAGATTATCAAGAACCTTAGGGAACAGTGAGCTGATGTTAATGGGAGAGGAACAACTTAGCCGAGGGAGAGGACTTGAAGAATGTTAATAGTGTCATCAAAGGGGACAAGAGGAAACTGCTGACCTGGAGTATGTTTTGCTTGCATAGTCTCAATAATAAAGCAAATAAAATAAAAGCTGAGTTTAAAAAAAAAAATGATTCTACTGACCTCCAGTAGTTCTTCCAGATGTTACCTCTAACACCACATCATTTTTGTCATATTTCTCCTTTGGCACTAAACGTTGGAAAAGCTGAAAAGAAAAATCAGGCTTGCCATACATTTTCCTGTGTCTTTTATTTATTAGGAGCCCTAGTGGTGCGCTGTTTAAGGCATTCTAATGCTAACTAAAATGCTGAGAGTTCGAACTCCCTCTGGGAGAAGGATGAGGCATGCTTCCACAGAGATGTAGGGCTTTGCAAACCCTCTGTGGCACTTTCACTGTGTCCTACTGGGTTGCTGTGAGTGAGAATGGACTCAGTGGCAATTATTTTGGGTTTTTTTGGTGATACTATTACTTGAAGTTACACAAAGATCTAAAAACATTCAGAAATCAGTAATTAACAAAATTATAGCAGACCTACATCAATGCTCAATTCATGTTAACAATGAAGTCACTTGTTGGGATATTTTCTTTAGTGCTCTCATATTATCTTAATTTTCTTAAATGTAGAAGTTTAGATGAAAGGACAAAGTATTCCATTCAGTTTTCTTCAGACTTTGACACTGATAATTACTTCAGAACACTGGCTTCTTTCATCTGAATCAAGTGAAGCTTTGAACATCTTCATTTGGGGAAAACAGACTTTTAATAATACAACTATTTCTTTTCTCCTGAGCTAAATGACAACAGAAGCTACCAAGCTATGCCTTGCCCTTTCTTTAAACTCACTGTTTTAAGAGTATGTTGAGGATGCCCAAGCTAAGGATCAGAGTGTCTCAGGACTCCCCCCTCCCCCAAAAAAACCACCCCAAAACAGTAGGGGAGAGAATTTCCTAATATAGAAATTAACTTTTTTGTCAGCATGAAAGATTTTATTATTATGAAAAGATCTTTCAAATAAAACAAAAAGCTCTAACATGTCCTGTCTCAATGTAAAACCAAACCAAGCAAACCCTCCGTCACCCAGCTGATTCTGATTATGGAGGCCTGATAGTTGTCACAGCAGCTGTTGTGTCACAGCAGTTGTCTACAGTGTTCTCAATGCTTGATGTCCCAGAAACAGATCACCAAGTCTTTCTTCTGCATCACCTCTCGTTGGTCTCAAGCCTCTAACCTTTTGTATCAGCTAACTATTAATGTCATCCAGGCACTCCCTGCCTCTAATGCCATTTAAAAAAAACCCCAAACAAACAATTCTACCTCTGCTGGAAATGAAACAGCCCATGGGAGAGAATACAAGACAAACAAATATCTTGTTTCTGTCTGATTAACTGGTTGGTTATATCATCTCCACACCTTTGTTGTTGTTGTTGATTGCCATCAAGTCGAGCATGACTCTTTAGAACAAAAGATCTAATGCCTTTCCATAACCGTTGTCCTTTTACCAAGTTCATTGTTTCAGAGGCATGTAGTTTAGGAAGTGGATGCCACTCCTGCTTCCCAATCTGTTTTATATCTGGGAACTCCACCAAACACTATTCATATTGGGAAGCCATTCTGGTATTTGTTACCCCAATGGCACAAGGTTCAGCATCACAGCAACCCAGGTTACTTCATACTGCACATTGAAAAAGAGTGATGTACAAGGTGGAAGAGTGTTCCTCCAGATATAACAGCACTAGTTTCACTTAGCAGTGGTTAAGTGTTATCAAGTAGAATACAGCTGAGAGCAAGTGCATAAAAGGTCTAAACTCTGTTCTAAGACTAACATCATTTCTTTACAGAATCCCTTTCCTGGATTTTTATGAACAGAAAAGTCTAAAGGTGAGAGGATGACAAAGTGATAGGTACTACTATATTCTTTACTGACACTGTAGCCAAGGCACATTTTGAACTAGAAAAAAAAGTTTACCCTCCCATTGAAATGAAAATTTTCCACTTACTTCTTGTTATCTACCACTGAGGTGGAAGCAGCCCATGGCTAACTGCTCCAGTGGGTTTATCACACAGGAGACTGACCATCTTTCTTCTGCAGAGCAGTTGATGGATTTGAACCACATGCCTTTGAGTTGGCAGCGCAGCTCCTTACCCACCAGGGTTTACTGTCTGTCGTTGTTCGGTGCCTTTGAGTCAGAACTAATCTATAGCTTACTCTCCAGCAGGTGTTGAGAGGCAGTTAATTTCATGGGTAGATTGGAACCGAGTGCCTTTAGGATGCAGCTTTCTACCAGCAGGCCACCAGAGCCTGTCTGGTGTTGTTTGGTGTTGTTGAGTGGTGACCCTATGAACAATTGCTCTGAACACTGTCTTATCCTGTGCAATCTTCACAATCTCTGACATACTCAAGCCCATTGCCACTATCACTATGTTAACTCACCTAGCTGAGGGTCTGCCTCTCTTTCACTGCTCCTCCACCTTCCAGAACATGATGCCCCTCTCCAAGGAATAACCTCTTCTAGCAACATGCTCAAAGTATATGAGATGAAGCTTCATCATTTTTGCCTCCAATGAGCACTCTGGTTACATCTTCTCCAAGACATACCTGATTGTTCTTTTGGCAGTCCAAGGGATCTTCAGCACTCTTCTCCAACACCACAGTTCAAAGGCATCAATTTTCCTTGTCATTCTTAGTCACTGTCCAGCTCTCAAATGCATAGCAAGTGACCAAAAAGACCCATGGCCTGAATCAGATGTACTTTAGTCCTCAAACCAATATTATTACTCCTTAATATTTTGGAGAGGTCCCTGACTGCAGACTTGCCCAGTGCAATATGTCTCTTGACTGCTGGTATCAAGTGTACTGATTGTGGATCCACATAAGGTGAAGTTGTTGATAGTCTCAATCCTTTCTCCATCCTTCATGTTGCCTATTGGTCCAGGACTGATTTATCTGTTTCAGCATAGCTGGTCATACTAGCTGACAGTCATGAAGTACCATGAGCACTGGGAGACGTTAGTTTGTTTACTGAGAGACTTCAGTATTTGTAGTTAGGGGCTGTGAAGTCACTTCTGACCCAAAGTGACCCTTGTAACCCAGCAGAACTTCTCCAAAGGGTTTCCCTGGCTGTAAACGTTATGGAAGCCAGGTCTCCCCCCTACGAGCTGCTGAATTTAGACTCTTACTCTCCTCTCTGTTGAATTAGAACAGACTCAGAGCTGGCCCAACACTGGGTTACTGGGTTTCTGAGGTTGTAAAACACTTATCTTTCTTCTGCAGCTGTCTTTGAGTTAGCAGCTTCCAGTGGATTAAGCCACCAGAGCTCCCCTTGACTAACTGGAGGTTGTTACGTACCTTCAAGTTGGGACCAACCCACAGCTGACACTCCAGGAGGTTTTCAAAGGTAGTAAATCACACAGAAGGAGAACGCCCATCTTTCTCCTGGGTAGTAGCTGGTAGATCTGAATCATGTCCCTTTGGGTTGGCAGCACAGCTCCTTACCATTAGGCCACAAGACCTAGCTAAAAACTTGGGTTAATCAACTGGGTTGACAGTCTAGGAATTCTTTCTATCTTGTCTGGAGTTCAATTTTTCAATCTTAATATGATCATCATGAACTCCCACCTCATCCCTTTCTAAAACTTAAAATCTTTGATTCTTCCCCTATGTTGAATTGCATTTCTTTACTGTTATGGGTTCCTTTGCCTGGAAAGTTAATAGATTTAGGTTTAGGGGTTTGTCTGTTTTTAAATTTCTTGGTGGTCTTTTTTCTTTGATAACACCATTCTCCCACTTCACTCTTCAACAAATTACAGCACTGAGTTCAGCTTAACCATTTGTTAAAAAAGCAAAATCAGTTGCCATAGACTCAGTCTCACCTCACTGGCGACTCTCTATGTGTAGGAGCAAAATTGTTTAGAGTTTTTTACGGCTGTGATCTTTTGGAAGCTGATCATCCAAGATGCCTATGGGTGGGCTCAAACTGACCACCTTTCCATTAATAGCTACAAATGCTTGATAAGCTGGTATTTGGAAAGTATACTGAGCAACCAAACCATAGTTTAACAGGAACAGTATTTATTTACATTAACATTGTTGAACTAGGGTTATATCCTGAAACCTACCTCATCATATAACATACTTATTTTTTCATCAATAGTTTGTTTTTCCTCCAATGCAAGTTCTTGTAACGGCTTTTCATCTTGTTTATTTAGACCTAAAATTCAGAAACAAAAATAAAGGATTTAAGATAATGAAAACTCACAGCCATCAGTCCTTGTCCACTGCAAGGGATTTTACAAAAAAGAACAGAGTAGTTACAGAATGCTGAATAACGAGTTTTCACTAAGTGCATCTCTTCAAACAGATCAAGGAGCTAATGCATGGTTTAAAATCCAGAAAGGTTGCCAATTAAAATTTTTTTTAAATATCAGGTAAGGTGTATGTCAAAGTTGTATCCTTTGATCATATATATCTATTATGCTGAACAGATAATCTAAGAAATGAGTACATAGCTGAAGAATTTTTAATCAGGATTAGAGGAAGACTCAACAATTGTAACATGAAATGATAGAGTCTTGCTTGCTGAAAACAAAGAACTTGAAGCACTTATTCATGAAGCACAAAAGCAATTGCCTGCAGTACGGACTACATTTCAACCTACAGAAAACAAAGCCTCGCAACTGGATCAAAAATCAACATCATGAAAGAAAATAAAGACTGAAGTTATCAAGTATTTCATTTTACTTGAATCCACAATCAATCATCAATGTCTACAGAAGCAGCAGCAAAAAAACAAAAACAAAAACCAAACCCAAAAACCACCAAACAAAAAAAAACACTGTGTTAGAGAAATCTGCTGTTAAGAAACCTTTTAAAAGAGCTACAGAGCAAAGATGTCAGTTTAAAGACTATGGTGTGCCTGACCTACACTATGGAATTTCAATAGCCTCACATGCAGAAGAACTCTGGATATGGAATAAGGTTGAGAAAATAACTGATACCTCTGAATTACAGTGTTTTTGTTCTAAGTATGTTAAATTTATTGATTTTTCTGCCCTATGAGACATAAATTTAAAAGTCTTACACTTCCAAGATTACAGAGCAATTGGTCTTATTTTCTTCTAGTAGTTTCAGTTTCTACATTACATATTTTTATTCATTTTAGAACAATATGAAACAATAACTTTAATAAGCTTTATTGAGATATAATTTTATACCATACAATTACCTTATTAAACAGTACAATTCAGTGGTTTTTAGTATGTTCAAAGAGTTATGAAACTATCACCGTGTTAACTTAAGAATTTTTAATCTTTTTTAATTATTAATTTCAATGAAAATTTACAGAGATTTTG